AAAAAGGACCCCTCCAACCACCTGTCCCCTATATATAGGGCGCTGCAACAGGGCAATCGGCACTTACCACCCCCCCTGGAGGACCTGAAGGAGGCCTGGTTTAGGTGGTTTTCACTATATACAGCCTGTAAATGTGCCGCTAGGGCTCCCTGTAATATAGTTTCCTCCCTACGTACCGCTTTAGGCAGCAATAAAACCCGAAGTTTAACCACCAAACATTGATTCTATATATCATATAATATTTTGCGTTATAAATAACCTTATCCGTGCCGGTATTTCGTGTTAACGTAGCTGAGTCTAAATGATTATGCGGGGGTATGAGATCTTCTCCAGGATTAGCATTCTAGGGTAGGTAGTGCGGCACTGCGGCGTAGTTTAGTAAGCTGGATAGAAATAGCAAAAAGCTCTTAAATTCGGCGCCGGATCTCACTACACACCCCACAGTCCTCCACCCGGCATGACAGCACAAGTCGTGTCATAATGATTCCCCTGCATCTCCGCCATTGGTATTTGTGATCCATGCACAAGTCCGCAACGGCCCTCGGGATTAGCTACTCCGGCGTGTGCTTATTACTACCACCGGAGAACGCCGTGGAGCGGACCTAGGAGGACATTAATATATCACCGCCTAACCCAATACTCCGAGATAATGCGGAGATGTCGTCGCCGCATATCACCACTCATAGCCTGTGGCAAAATTTTGCGAATCCGAAACTTATATACGTGTATATCACGCATTCTTGATCTATTTAAAGACGTTCTCGTTGTGTTAAATAACACAGATATCAGTTTGGCATAGGTATCCCGAGCTCGGATATTTCCCGGGTAAAAAAGTGTTGATTTCCAAGCTGATTCACTAGATATTCTAATTCAAAGGCCGAATATTCGTTAGTTTCTAACGTTATAAAATGTCATTGAAACCACCACCAACTTATATCCTTTACACACTATGGTTAATTGCGGGTAATAGAGTTATACATAGGGTCTAGCTCGTATAGTAACCTAGTTGTTAATAGAAACTATTAAAAGCCCTATTCTCCAAGCCATCTTTCTCATCATCACGGTGTATATAGCTTCGCATCCTATTTTTAAGATCGCCTTGTTCGTGGCTTCGTCATAAGGGATTCGTTTTCTTGAGGACGCCCTAGCAAATTTGTCGCGGAATGGTATATTCTCTTTTAAGACGAGCCTATCGGTTGCACTATCGATTAGTGCAGAAACAGTCACCCTCCCTCTTGGTTTACTGTGCTTTCTAGTGGTTTTTATCATCCCTAGGTAGATCTTTAAACTCCTACATAGTCTTGCAGCTTTGGGTAGTATTTCGTGCATTTAGATAGTTATGTCTTAAAATTCAAGTTGATTTGTCTAAATTCTTTTCCTTCTTTTGTGCTATATAATTCGTATGTTTTTTTTAAAAAGAGTGTTTTAATGTGGCATTTAACCTCAAATCCCCCATATAACTAGCTCCATGTACGCCTTAAAAGAATGTTGCCGGCTTGATTTCCCCCAAATCTATCATCTAAATCTATCAACAATTTTCCAGTCTAATACCTCTAGTGATTTGCCATATGCTATAGACCCCTGTATAAAGAAAGTATTAGTAAAACTAAAATTTAGACAAGTTCGAGCATAGGCTGTAGAACTTACAAGGAGAAATTTTTGGTGCTGTCGCCAATATCCTCAAATATTCTCGGACCAGTCATCCTGGGAAAATTCCCAGCGTTGGCCCCTGTACGATGATTAATATCCTCGTGTGCTTTTTGTGAATATGATATGGGACGCTACTCACGATGTTGTTGTCGGTGGTGGTGATGGTGCCGGAGCTGGGGAAGACTCGCTCTTCACAGTCGAAGAGCCGGACGCAGAGCTTCCTTGGCCTTGGCCTTGGCCCTTGATGGCGACTGAGACTGCTGCTAGAATGACAACCATGGTTGGAGAGTATATATTGGTTTTTGGACTTTTCCAGGTGTGAGAAAGGAGGAAAAATAGAATACTGAAGAAACTTTGATCGTGGTGAGTTAGATGGGATCGATGATGGTGTTTACCATTCAGACATGAGGCTCTTGGATATGCTTCAATCTTTATATACAAATCAGTATCCCGTATTTGGGCCTGATAGCTTTATGGCTATGTAGCTCATAATAGCCAGGATTGGGCTCGTGGTCGTCTCGTCGGTTACGTTGATAGTAACGCTCACCAAGTCACAAGGCCTTACTAAGTAGTAGATTTCCTTAATTGGCATTCTGGTGTCCTTCTGTACTTACATTAGATTTACGTCACAGCCCGTCGATGATTATAATTCTTGGCCAAGTCATTTCCCGTCATTCCTATTCAATCCCATTATAGGCCCCGTTTCAGTGGTGATTGAGGCGGGGGACGTTGACACTACGGCACAGTTTCCTCCTGTTCGTGTGCTCACGTGCGACGGGCTGAAGGCTCTGGCGAATCGGAATATTCTCTAGCATTCTATACGGAGACGGGCCGATCAGGCACGTTTTCTCAACGTCCATCCTCCGCGGCGATTTACTGACTCTGAGGCAAAATGACATTCGGTTGGACTCCCGATGGCTGAGCACAAGGGAACTAAACTAGTTCGGGCAACGCCAAGTGTGTCCCGCAACGCCTAGCTGCCATTAAAACCCTGGACTCTACGGTTTCCTTTCTAGGACTATTACCTATTCAAGACAATTAATGTAGCATTGTATTTCTTAGTCATTTTTCAGCTCCCGCAAAAGACCAACATTGTTAGTTGGTACTGCGTGGCGAAGGGCAACCTGCAATTTTAGCATGTATGTATGTGTGGAATTAGGCTTAGATTTATTGATAAGGAGCACGTTTATACGGCGTATTCGAGCTTCTTTCTTTATGTGCACTCCTATGTATTGTTACGTCGACTATAGGGCTACATCGCAGCGTCTCTTCTTATTCCCATCCTGTTCCGCAAATAGCCATCGTGTCAACTCTCATTGGACAATTGACCCGCAAGCATGTGTATAGAGAAACCTTATCTTGACGACGAGGAAATTTGTTACTCAGCATGTTGGGATGAAAAAACGGCATTGTTACGGTAGCTAGATTAATTACAGTATATATGTGATGGTAGTGGTGATGGTGTTGGTGGTACGTGACACGCGCGAACCCGCTGTGTAAGTAGACAAGAGAAGTAGCGTACATACAATACATGTATTGTAAATTAGCCAACGACTGCGCTTTCAACGCTTTTGCGCAACAAAACAGTTAATTCGTACATTCACCACTCAGAGAACAAGGATCTATCCCGCCACAGAAGTAGGCGGTGCTTTGGATGTAGCTTACAAATACGCCATACCTTCCGAGGCGCAGCAGTGGGATATTGCAGCCTAGTGATGCGAAGATGCGAAAGCTGCATTTATTCATCCTACCTATTTATGCGATGCCACTTCCTGTTTAATTGTTTGCGACAAGCTATCGAGTAGAAAGTTGATAGTTTAGGGTAATAGATTTTGTGTTGGTGGGGTGTGGCTACGCGACTTGAAACAGATGCATCATTTTACATGTGACACTTATAAGTCGACCGGGGGTGGGTAATATATGTTGTACAACTATATATAAAACACAACTTTAGTTCTAGAAGTTTACTAGAGTCGCGGGTTGTGGGGTATAGCTAATGTGCGTGAAGTTTTGGTATCATTTTAATATTGTGACGGTGTTTGTCCCATTTTTCTCATCTCTACGCCATGTTCTATCTAGGGAACAATTCCTATAAAACAAGCCAACAAATACAAGGAGGAGAAGTATATTGTTGCCCAATACTGGCAACAGCCGTTGTAGGTATCGTTGAAAGTACATTTAATTCGATTCTATATTGTTACACGTGCCGGTGGTAAGGCCACACAAGGACCTTCAGCCTCATCATAAGCATATCCACTCTCGCTCAGGATCAAGCTAACTATTGGTGGCAAATATAAGCGAGACAGCAGCCTCTAGGAAGGGTCAAACTATAAATAAGCTGTTGACTCCCACTCGAGGCTGGGAGCCGCAAATGACCCTTTAGGACCCTTGATACTATAGAAGATTATGGGGACAAAAATAACCCTTCCAGATCTTGACCATTGGGAAGCTCTTGTCACATTGATATTGGGTTCTATATCTTCGAATATACCTATATATGGTAACAAACTGGTTGAAACCGGATCTCCGGGGAAACCAAACATCATCCAACGGTCGGTGGAGCATATCAAGGCTGTTCATTCTTCGGGTTGAGCGGCTCATTTGGCAGGCTGTGATGAAGGGTGCCGCGTCTTTGTACTACCTATCATGATACTACTTACAATCTAAATGTAAGTTGCTCACTCTGGCGCATTCATATTGAAATCTCTCTGCAAAAGAGCGTTGTCTATATATATCTTACTGATACCGATATAGAGGCACTCATGTGCCGCGTTTATTATTAATAATTTTGTAGCCTCCTGTTTTCCCTATTTCGCGGAACGGAACTGTATCACGATACCACGGCACTACTAAGATAGAACGCTGTCGCGGTTAGGGGACCTCGACTGAATGAAATTAGTTATGAAACGGGTGGAATCTCTTATCGGTCTTCTCTTATCATTCTGACCGCGAGAATTTGTATTCCCACTGGATCATACATTTACTAGGCAATTCAACTTGAGTCTTTGTCGATGGACTCCCTACACAAACTAAGTCAACTAGTGTGAAGTAGATATTTAGCATGCCTAGTATGGCAGCAATATAGTAGCATTGGTGACTGCGTAATCATCAGATATACGATAATCTTTACGATAAGTTATCGGAGTAATTATTTTTGCGTGTATAAATTTAAACTCTTTAAGAGTAGGAAATATTAGGAAAGAAAAGGAGAGAAATTTTATTTTGAAACATAAGAATAGAAAATTAAATATGTCAGGGAAGGAAAAGAAAGGCGAAAAGAAAAGCGAAAAGAAAAGAGAAAAAAAGGGAAGGGTTGCTACTCCTAGTAATCTGGGAGGCATCAGGAATTGAGCCCGATGCGGGGGTCGAACCTGTGATAGTAGATTAGTATTTATTTTTGTGTCTGCATGAATGCATAGCTACTCACCCGCAACCTTGAGATTAAGAGTCTCACGCTCTACCGATTGAGCTAACCGGGCAAAGGATGGGTTGTATTCACGTAATTTGAGGTCTTGTTTGTGTTCGCTCGAGGTTGTGTGTGTGCGTGTGTGGGTTTGACGATGTGGGCTCGCGTTACGGGTTTTGTGTGGGGAACTTAACTTGTTTTCCACATGATTCTGTTGAGCCTAATATGTGGTGGGAATGATGCAACAAGGAAAAATAAACGTAAATGGAAATGGTTCTCTACCAATTAAATGGATATAATAGAAGTCCATTTATCATCACTTGGACATGTAGTCAAAATAAGGGGTTGTTATACGTTATATTAAGTATATAGGTGGGAGATATGCAGTGACATCAAGTATACATATGCACCTAGCTCTGGCGGTGTCTTATCGATAATTGACCACTAATAATAGAGACTAGTTGGGCTTCGTTGACTGACCAAATAGGTAGGCGGGGTAGGTGTAGCATTGTGTGTGCCGCATTCAGCTGGTTCTATGGGTAGGTAGCTACCTCCTAATCTACTGATTGCTAAACACTCCGCAACCTCTGTCCGTGTAGAATATACCAGAATATTATTAAGTCATATCACAAACATCGTATCGCATCGCATCGCATCGCATCGCATATTTCCCCATAAGCATACTCCACGGGCTTCCGAACTTGCGAAGCCTAGTTTAACTACTCTCTTCAAAGATCACCTCATATAAGCCGCCATGCCCGTAGACTACAGCAAATGGGTAAGTGCTTATTCAGCTAAGATTTAGACGGTGTTGCCTAGGAGAGATGTATAACCAAGTACTAACCACAATTCTTCTGCCTGTCGCAGGACAACTTGGAGCTCAGCGATGACTCGGACGTTGAAGTCCATCCCAACGTCGACAAACGATCCTTCATCCGCGCCAAGCAAAACCAGATCCACGCTGAACGTCAACAGCGTCGTCTTAAGATCGAGACTCTGAAATACGAACGTCAGATCAACGATGGATTAATAAAGCGCATATCCGGCCTTCTGGCTGCCCTCAAAGCTAATGCTGCCGAGGCCGAGGCGAACCTCGCCGAAGTGGCCTTCCGAGCCGTCATGGAGTCGGCTGGGAGCCCCGAAGAGGACACACCACCTCCGCGACCCGAGGGTGTACATGCCAATGTTGAGCAGCCGCCTACGTACAGTAAGATGATGGCTACCATGCTAGACCAGGTAAACACTACACTCAACGAAAAGAGCCCGGAGAACCGGTACGTTGCTATGATGGAGGAGATGGAAGATCATTTAAAGAAGGTGAAAGATCTACAGAACCAGCTCCTAGCAAAGCTAGCAGAGCTGGAGCAGGAGGAAGGTCGTAAAATCACAAGCGAAAGCATCCACACGGGGTTTGATAGTTCCTACGTCGCGAAATCTACACCGTCCACATCGGAGCAGAAGAGCGACAGCAAAGTCGAACTCCTGAACCCCAATTTTTCTGCCAGCAAGTCAGACGAAGCAAAGGCAGCGCCGGCTGCGGACGAGGATGACGATGCTGAGATTGAGGCTTCTGCTGACGGCCGCAAGTTCGCGAAGATTAAGGCCAGCGAGTACCGAGAGAGCCATGACTTTCTTACCTCGCACCCAAACATTCTGTCTGAGAAAGAGACCGACGGCATCCTCGTCATGGCATTTGACGCACAGCTAGATAATAAAGATGATCTTGCCCGAAACTACATACACCAAGCCCTCCTACTCCAGTACTGCCGATCACTGGGCAGGGATGGTGTTGCACTCTTCTTCAAGCGCATCAATACAAAGGGCCACAAAGCCCAAGAGGTATTCTTCAAAGATGTATACGACACCTACCTCCGCATCAAAGGCCGAGCGGCGGAGATCAATGCGCAGCGGGCCGCTGGGGATGGTTCCGGCGATGTGGAGCAGATCCAACTGCACGCCGTTGAACCGGGTACCGAGATTAAGATCCAGATCCCCCCCACGAATAGCGAAGATGAGGCCGAGAAGCACGGACGGGAAATATTCGAGAGCTTTGCGCCGGATATGCGGAAGGCGCTGGAAACGGGAAGCCTGGACAAAGTCAATGAGGTTCTCGGGAAGATGAAAGTGGCCGAGGCTGAAGAGCTTGTTGGTCTGTTGGGCGAGGTAAGAAAATATATGCGAAGGCGTTACTATTCAGCATAACCATTTACTGATGACCTTCTAGGCTGGTATCCTTAGTTTGGAAGAACAGATAATAGACGCCACGACCGACGAAGGCAAACAGAAGATCAAGGATCTAGAAGAACAGGCTGCCATGGAGTCGTATACAGACGACCCCGAGTAAATACCAACTCCCTCTGCATGGTGCAGAGAGGCTTGTCCTAACTAGTGATGTGGCGAGAAAAGATACCAATACAATAATGGATACCCCCAGGAAACATGATTTCGTCTCTAATCTGTCCGACTATTATCCAGGACGGTGCACACACATGTGCTAGGAGACATGCTAGGAGGCGTAGGTAATTTAAAAAATAAAGCATAAGGCTCTTGAGACAACTCGTCGGGTTAATGGTCTAGTTGTATGACGACTTTCTCCAACTCCAGCCTCATTGGCTTATGCTACGTAAACGGGGCTCGGAATATATGGGATATCTGGTCTCGTGTTAGATGACTAGAACTTATGTGCGTGTATATATGTACGTCCGTAGAGGTCTTCAACACCAAAAATAGGCACTGAGCATTCTTCAGCGCGACCAATAGACCGTCCGCATCGCATTTCCGGGGCGATCACAGTTAAGCAGTTAAGGGGCTGTGCTGTGTCTGTGGCTTCAGTCGTTAGTTAGCTCGTTACCGACCCGCTGTTGTCTGGAAAGACCAGCCGCATTCTGCACCAATTTTTAGTGGGGGTCTTTCGTATTCTCTCTCAAACAAGGCATGATTTTGTGGAAATATCAAGCTTGATCATCATAAACTTTAATGGGTCACTATATTCTGCAGCGCCTCCGCGACACCTTCAAGGGCATTCATTTCCTCTCTGAGATTCTCGCGTGCTTCGAATTATGTCATAGTGGTTAGCAAAATTGTAGAGTTCGCGATCATCCGTTCATCAATTGTAGATGATGCTGATGATTAAAAACCTTCTTTTACATACATATGCGTGCGTATGAATACTCGTCTCCGCCTATAGTATTGCACCAGTAGATTTGCCCTGAAACCCCCGAAGCAACGGAACGCGCGTTTGCTTAGTTTCATCTGTGCCAAGCCGAAGGCTGACGTGGAGAGGCGCAGCCACCACGAGCTCCAGAACAACGCCCCACAGCATACGCAGCCGCCGGGGCAGGTACGGCGCTCTGCTCTACAGCACTGCAAGTCCGCTAACGCTAGCCCGTCGAATCACCCCTAGAAGAACCCCAGCAACGCTGTCGGTGCAGATCTAGCCTATCGAGAGCCTGGCCCTGCAGCAACGGCTAGCCATCTTGACCCTGTCGATCACCATATTCGCCGGGATCCGGCATTGCACGCATCGACCCAACCGCGCAAGTTTGGGGGTGAACATTACGTATCGGACCAGCTCAGACCTGTCAATTTAAATCGTAGCTAAAAAGCTAGTTATGGCGCTCGTGGGAAAGGGAGACTGGATAGATATATTTCTCTTTTTACCTCTCGTTTTGTAATTTTGTCTCTTAGATCGCCCTCGTTTCTCTTTTACAGCAAAGTACAGCACAGTAAAGCCAGTACATACGAGTAAATCACAATAAACCTCTTAGTTCCAGATTACTTAGCTATCTCGGCGATATGATCTCATCATCACTATGCACGTACCTAGCAACCCTCGCAACTTTGGCCGGTACGGCTTATTCAACACCACAATGGGGCAATGGAGGTAATGGCGGTCCGATGGCACCGACAACCACGACAACATCAACGGTGTCGACGGACTCGATAGCCTCGACGGGATCAGCTGTCTCAAGTGCCTCAACAATCTCAACGGTGACGGTGGCATCATCTGTTGCCACAGCAGAAGCCGCTTCAAGTTCAACATCGACAGTAGCATGTAATAACTCCCCCTCGCTCTGCGACCGTTCGTACAGCAACATCACCCACATGGGCGCCCACGACTCATCTTTCCTCCGCGACGCCAGCACCGGGAATTCGGTAGCCGGCACCCAGTACTACAACGCCACCGTCGCACTAGACGCCGGAATAAGGTTGCTACAACTGCAAGTCCACGATCTCAACGGCACCATCGAGATGTGCCACACATTATGCAGCCTGCTCGATGCCGGCCCCCTGGAGGACTGGCTCACGGAGATCAAGTATTGGATGGACAACAATCCGAACGAGGTAGTGACGCTCCTGATCGTCAACTCGGACAGCAAGACCGCCGCCGAATTCGGGACCGTGTTCGAGGCCTCGGGCATCTCGGAGTACGGGTACACGCCTTCCGGCACCGACTGGCCAACCTTGCAGACCATGATCGACGCTAAGACGCGCCTCGTGACCTTCATCGCATCCGTCACCACCAGCACCAGCTACCCCTACCTGCTCTCCGAGTTCGACTACGTCTTCGAGACCGCGTACGAGATAACGTCTCTATCGGGCTTCAACTGCACGCTCGACCGGCCCACTTCGCAATCCTCGGCCGCAGCCGCGCTCTCTGCAGGTCTGCTCCCACTCATGAACCACTTCGCGTACAAGGATCTAGGCTCGTCCATCATGATCCCCGATGTCGACGATATCACGACAACGAACAGCCCGTCTACCTCAACCACTGGGGCTCTAGGTCTGCACGCTGAAAACTGCTTGTCTGAGTGGGGCGTCAAGCCGACTTTCGTGCTGGTTGACTTCTTTAACGAGGGTCCGTCCATCAATACGGCGGACACGATGAACGGTATCAGTGCCGTTGGACGCACCAACGACACCACGACTGAGGCGGACACTGCATCCAGTGAGGCGAGGCGTACCGCTGGTATGGGCACGGGAGCCCTCGTTGCATTTTTCGCGGCGGCATTGCTCCTTGCGTAGACTGATGGGCGGTTTTATTGCATGGTTATTTTGGGGGAATAAATGGAG